ACCCGCCAGTTACCAAAGCCAAACTATTTGGGCGCTTCTCCCTGCCCAAGGGCTGACAGCCGTGGAACCCAATTCCCTATGTTCTGGCAGAGGGCACGGACGAGAACCCAAGCAACCGGGCAAGATGTTAGAATTCGGAAAGCTCCATCCAGCAACATTTAGGGGGGGTCTAGTGGTCTCGAATTTTTCAAGTCCCCGAAATCGCAAAGCGTGAGTTGCTAACGGTAACCGAAATAATCTCAAGTTGCCATAATACAGCATTTTCAAGGCCCAAGAAGTGTGTTTGGCTGGAAAACAGGTTCAAAAGAAGAATACGGTACTACTACTACTAGGAAGACATCTGCACCCAGGTTTAGTTATCTATTTTCTCAATTTTTTACCCCAATTATTGAGAGCAGTGCCGGTGTTGTAATATCTTTACGATACACACTGCTCGGGAGTGAAGAAGATTCGCGGAACACGGTCAGATCAATACGAGTATTTGGGAAGCCTTCATTTTGACACTGTTCTCGCAACTTGATTACCGAGGTCAAAAAGTGGGTAGTCGGCGACAACCAAACGCACCCCAAGCGATAGGCGAGCCACGGTGTGGAGAGCATGAGTTGCTATTGTGTTTGGACAAAATTAACCGCGATTCAACAGAGGAAAATCTTCAGCGATGACAACCACACTCACCTACCAATCCACTATCATGAAAACCAAAAAAAAAAAAAAGATGTAAATACATAGTAGAAATTAATATTTGGTATACCATCCATCAGCCTTAATAATCGCCTCTATTCTATCCACCATTGATCCAGCTAAAGTATCAAAAACCTTTGGGTCAAGAAGTTCTCAACAATGAGTGATAGCCTCTACTATTGCCTTCTTGACCACATTGACATCACCCTTCATAAGATATAGCTCAGGGTAGTGCTTGTGAAGCTTACCTTTCATCAGAGACCAAATATTTTCAATTGGATTGAAATCTGGTGAATAGGCAGGAATTTCCATCAGTGTAATTCCTTGCCCTCTGAGTCATCTCCTAAAAGGCAAGTGAGTCTTAGCATTGTCAATAATAAAAAATACCACTTCTTCTCCAGCTTTTTCTCTGATATTCTCCCATATTCCTAGAAAGTTATAATAATCATAAACATCAATAATTGACTTCCCAGTAACTCCACTCCTAGCATAAGAAGGATCAGGAAAAACAGGCAAAAAAAGACCATGAGTTTGACTATAAAAATAACCAGTCATCATCTGGCTAATCCCTCTTTCCCCTCTCCTAGTCTTAGATTCAACATAATCCTTATTCTATTTCTCACATGAGTATCTGAAAACTCATTTTCTCCTCTTTCCTTTTCCCCTTTCTACAGCTACCTCATCTCCCCACAATGCCTTTCTTTTCCACATCTCCTTGGTCTAATACCTATGAGCTAATGTCCATTCCAACCTCTCTTGAGCTAGATCCTCATCCAAATAAACTCTCTCTTGTGCTATCCACTTTCTAAGATGCTTTTTTTCAAGTTTTCTCCTTACTGTCCTACTAGAAACATTGGGAGCAACTTGCTCAGCAATGTCAGAATAGGTAGTATGGCGATTTTTAAGAGCTTCTTCCACCATAGCATCATCCTATGACTTAGTTTTAGGATGTCTTCCTCTACCCTTATTCTCCTTACCCTCTTGATGTCCCTTTGCAATTGTGTCTCTGACAGTAGTGTAGGGGTATTAAGGTAGTGGGAAATTTGCTGATATCTCATCTGAGGCTCATGTAACCTCAGAATCCTCCACCTGGTAAACTCAGAGAGATGTGTGGAGGGAATAGGTTTTTTGTCATGACTGCAAAGAATAGGAGGCATAGTTTATTGAAAAAAAGAATTGAGCAGAATGGTTTCTTCTTGGTTGACTTAGAGCAATTATTTTAGGTACTGTTGAGAGTGCGGGGTGATGAAGAGGGGTGGGTTGCCACCAATTGTTGAATCACAGTTAATTTTGTCAACGCACAATACAAGTAGATGCCCCTTCGGAACCCTAATCTAGCCAATCAGATTACACGCCGAGCCTAGACATACAAGTACAATAGCTTATTGATCAGCCATGGTTCTGGGCTATGGTAATGTACTGCGGAAACCGTCGTTTTCTGCCTCATCGCCTCCGTGACTTGGCATGTGGGGTCAGTCCCACAAGTGCTCATTTGGAGGCAGGCCACGGTATGATATTAACCATAAATTATCATGCCTTTGCTGATGCTGGATTTAGGCTAACACTTCAACCCTGGCCCTAAGCCACCAATTTTCACTCAAAAATAAAAAAAATGAAAAAGAAAAAGAAAGAAACAAAATGCAATTTGGGTGGCACCACGCCCTCACTGTATGATAATATGATACTGAATTTTGCAAAAAACCTCGAGGGGTGGGTAGGTGAGCAGTGAGCACATAAAGTGATGAAACAAAAAAATAAAAACGAAAAAGTGACTGAGCATGCACCATTGCAGCTGAAATTCCCATCCGCTTAAAACTGCTTTCTAACATGATGTCGCTTTGTTATGTGGAGAGCTTATACTGGTCTGATAGTGCGCAGTCAATCTTCGATGAAAACTATCAATCGTGTCAAGAATCTCGCACTTACCCCTCACGTATCCATCCCCCCGATGTTGCATGGTATTAGAGATATTTTGCCCCATTAATTCCGCAGATATAACAACAACAAGACATTCCAAATCGATCGGTCTGCTTGGAACAAACGAGACCGAAATCATCGACCAATAACCCACCTTCACAGCTGCACCCCATCCCCCTCCCCACCTCCGCCCCCGCTGGTACCGAGTAAAAGGGTGGAAAAGGGTTCGCCCTTGGGAGCGTTCGGTTCCAGCGTCTGAGGACCCTGCGCATCAATCCATACTCGAGCACGGGGCTGCTAAATCCTATAGCTGCTTTCCTTCGATTTGCATTAAATATCAGCAGTAGCTAGGGCAAGCCATTATCTTGCCGAGATACACCCCCCCTTCTCCCCACCTGATGTTCCAGAATGATTTCTTGCAACTCCAGAATACCTCCCTATCCGCTGGCCTCTTTTCACTCTCAAAAAGGCAACCAGACACCGACGATACCCTCCAAACAGCAAAAGAAGCACTGATATCTCGGACGGAAAAAAAAAACCCCCCGAAAACATTCCCAAATGTCTCAACCCCTGCGGCTCAAAAATAAGCTTTTTTCTAATATTGCAACTCTGGTCTGCGGGGCCCCACACACAAAAAAGGCAACCCTAACCCTAACCGGCTTATCTCGCCGAGTCGCGGGTTTATCTTTGGACAGGGAGATCAATGAGGGATAAGAGGAGGAGGGAAGTGGGGGGGGGGTCATCGGCAAAATGCGGCCCTGCGTCATAGACCTGTAAATGGTCCTCCATCTTCCGGGGGAGTTTGTGAGGTGGTTATTTTTTTTTATCGGATTTGACCGACCACACTCCCACGATAAGGAAAGAATAGGGAAGGGAAGAAAAAAAGAAAACAAGAACCCATTATCAAAATTTAATGTCCTATCGTCTTATTTGCTCACACTGGCAAATGACAACAAGCAAAATCAAGAACACTACAGTACCGAAAACTGGCCACGAACGATGAGTCCGATAAGTTACCGTACCACCATGCCAATGCCTCTACCGGTTGGAGAAATGGGGTGCTGGCACAAGTACCGTACCACAACAGGGGAAACAAGGAAAAAGGAGAGCCGGGAGGGAAAGAAAGAATAGTGCTCGTATGATACAGTTACGGGGGAGGGGAAGGAAGTGCATACCTAACATTCTCTCTCTCTCCCTGTCTGCTTCTTTTTTTTTTTTTTTTTTTCCCTTCCCAAATCGCCGAAATCCGCTTCTTCGCTACTTATAGTACATTATGCATGGTATGAGATCTGTCCTAGTTCCGGTGTTGGTTTCGGTCATCGACGGGTACGTGTGCGGTACCCTCTTCTCCCTCCCCCCCCTCGCATGCAAGAACGGATGTTTGTATCTCGTCGTGGCTCTAGGTCTGGTCGTAACGTATTCCATCTGAGTATTATATCTTTTTTCCCCGCTTATCCTATATCGGCGGTACTCCAGTACTCGAGTACGAGTACGAGTAGAGGCAGAGAAGTGCGGACCCGAATCGGCTACCTTCCCCTCCTCTTTTCACTTCTTACTTTTGTTTGTTTGTTTGTTTGTTTGTTTGATCGCAGAGGAGAGTAGACTACCGTATAGTATAAGATAACAACGAGCGAAGCAATGCGCAAGAGAAGGAAGGAGAGGAAGATAGGGCACGTGTCGTCGTCGTATCATGGGGGAGAATTAACTAGACTATGAAATCACCCCGTCGTATGATATCATACCGCGAATCCTCAATCATGAAGAATGACTCGACTGATGGTCAAGCCGGGTGGGCTAAATTGCAACGGAACCCACCATCGCACTGCCCCCAATTCGCCATAGTCTATGCCGCCGCGGTACCAATAAGTTTATGGCGTGATTTGGCAACGAAACCACCACACCCACTCGCCAATGACAGCATTCGGCATCACCTCGTAGACTATCAAGTGAAGAATTTTTCAAACACCAAGCAAGCAGGTAAGCAGGCGAGACAAGGTATTTAGACTGCAATGCCAAAAACTCCCGCCATCATACAAAACAGCAAGTATAGCTCATATATCTTGCTAGAGAGGAAGAAGGAAATGACAAACCACACATAATGAGATAGAATTGTTCCTCCGATTAAACTCCGGGCCCGTGAATGTACAAAAATAAAATAAAATAAAATGGCAAAGGTATATAAAAAAAAGACAGAAATCAGCCCTCCCAGGATAGAATAGAAGAGCGGGGAAAAAGAAGAAAATAACAGATTTTGCATCAAGACTAGAAATAAAGGATGCGATGTGAGTGGCGATGAGCAATCGCAGAGGGGTTTTTGACAGGAGCACCAGTCTATGGTATGTACTGAGTTACGGTGTCTTATCAGAACCTCCCTAGTGCCTGGCAGGGAAGAATCGAACACCTTAATTCTTCATATCCCACATCCCCCTAATACTTGGCCTGTTCGTCGTCAAGACTTCCAGACCTTTAAGTTTCTTCGCCAAAAGCCCTTGTCCTTCGACCCTCCCAATTGTCGAAGATACACTCATCTTCTCGTACTCACCCACGTCACTGCTCATCTCGCTCGCCGAGTCGGTGTCCATGCCCTTCGTGCTCACCAGTTCAATATTCACTGCGCTGAACTTGGGAATCGGTGGGGGAGACATTGCACCTTTTGCTCTAGAATCTAAGGCGCCCGGGAAACTCGTATGGAGGCTTGTGCTTCGTCTCCTGGAGGAAATTGGCGTCGGGGCGCAGCTCTCGGACTTCCAGGGACTGAATTTGGGCTCGGGCCATAGGAGCTCATTCCTCAGCTTTTCTTTGCCATCCGGGACCCTATTCGCGAATACCACCCTGATCGACCTATGTAAGTAGTAGCGACTCCTGCTCGGACTGCAAATGTGCAGGTGAATTAGGTAACGCAACGAGTCCTTCTCCTTCTCCCTCTTCATAGCCACCGGAATGTTTCCAGCGAAGTCGGAGAGTAGCGGGTTTCCAACGGAATAGCTTTTTTGCCTGATAAACGTCTTCGAGCCTGCCTCCATATCCTTCAAATCGTACGGAACCAAGAAAAGTTTCACCGCGGTCTTATTCGGATTTTTGATAACAATCTGGAGCTGTCCACGCTGCGGAATACGGTATGCCCCCCCAACGCCTGGAGGAGCCTTCGAAGACCTTCCGTTTGCAATATTCAGGGCTGTGTCGAGGTCAATTTGTCCAACATATGGCGAAGGGCTGTCGTAATCGCCAAGGGCATAAAAATAGGCCGGGAACGGAAGAGTGACATGGGTCGGGCACCTTAGTGACGGCTTGCACTTTCCGAGACCGAGGACCCCGATCTGCGCAACGAAATTGAGAGGTTTTGACGGAGTAGTCGACATACGGCCGTTGAGTATAGACTCCTCAAATGATCCCACCAAAGAACCCCCAAACGGCAAATCCGATGTTGAACCCCCAAATCCCGAGAAACGACGAACATGACGGGTTGCAAGAGGTGGTGAAGTCGACTGACCATCCCCCCATCCAGCCCCCTTTGGACGACGTAATGAAGACGGGGTAGTCGGTGATAGTTGTAGAGAGGAAAGCGACGACGGTGGAAGGGAGACACGTCGACCTTCTCTACCCGGGAAGGAATATTGAATGTCAATTGCGCCCGCAGCTGTCAAAGCGGGTGAGCCCTCGTTGCTACTGCTGTCATTGCCAGGGTTCGAAGAGTGAACCAGCGGTGACGTCGCAGCTTTCAGGACGAAGTTGGAAGAGAACGGAAGGCCTTTATGCTTTGTTCTGGCCTGGTAGAGCTCGGAAGCATAACGATTGAACGGGGAGGATGTGGTAAGAGACGATTCACTGTAACCCGTGCTCGGACTGCTTAGAAAGGATGAAGCGGAAGGGAACGTAGGCGACGGATGGTACGGTTGAAAATTCCTTGACTCGTTATTCGTAAAGACACCTTGGTGGAGAGCAGACTGGGGACGGTCAGGGTGTTCGTCGATAAAAAGTGTTTCCAAAGGGCTGTGGTTAGAGTAATAATTCGAATGCTGGGAAATTAAAGTTAGAAATCGAAGGAGTCAGTAAGCAGGGAGCTGAGAAATATGAAAGATCACAGCATAGTTTTGCTCAAGCACATGTGAGGAAAGGAGCGTAGTAATTACCGATCGGTTAGGGACCCAAGTAGGAGTTTGGCCAGCTTTTATTCTCTCGATAAGCTCAGCTCTATCCGTTACCCCATTCACGGTTGTGGCTGGAGAGAGGGGAGGTGAGGAGGGTGAAGTTGTCGAGTTGAAATATTTGGTGTGCATTGTCAATTGGGGTGTCCGAGGAGGAAGTTCCCTTACCTCTTCGGGTGTTACGGAAGAAGACTGTGGCGGCGAGGGGTGCTCGGTGTTGTAAACGAGGGGTATAGGCATTGGGGAGGAGGAGGGTGAGCAGCGGTGCAAGTATTTCGAAGGGATAAAGGAAAAGAAGGGGCCGGGGTGTGGAACTCCATGAGGTGAGAATAAGTAGGAAGGGGAGGGAGGAGGGAGGAGGAGGAGGAGGAGGAGAGGGAAGGAAGAGGGAAGATGTATGGTAGGGTGGTCCTAAGCAGGCGAGAGCACGTCAGGGTAGCTGGCTGTGTAGTTTTAGTTATTGGTGCTATGGTGGGAGAGGTGGTGTCCCTGATGGGGTGGGTGGTGGTGGTGGTGGTGGGGGGGGGTAAGTGAGAAAAGGCGCGGCGGGCAGAATGGAATGGGAGGGAAAAAGCTCGTGAATGGAGTAAAGTTTAACAGCGGTTGGTTAATCCTTCCGTCGTGACAACAATTACTGTGTATGGTGGTTCTCGAGTTTGGCGAGGTATCATGGCTACGGTCACAGAGGCCCTCAACAGGTTCGGTTTGATGGACCGCAAAAATAACAGCCACCGGGACAAGTAAAGTATTGTTCACCAGCACAAGGACTTTGAGTTCCGTGCCAATCAGGCATCAGGTAAACCATCGCGCGAAGAACACTATAACCCACAGAGCAGTGCCAGGGTCTTCTTGTGATCTTCACACATTGCAGTGTAAATAGGCAGGAAGCGCTGTCTGCCGTGGCAATCTGGTCAAAAGAAAAGTTCCAGGCTTCCTTCCGTGCTTGCTGGCTCCACTCGTCGGGCCTGAGTTTTTCATTTTCTCCTCTTCCACAAGTTAACCTCACAATTGGAAGGAAAATCCTTTTTAAAGAGGGAGAAAAGGATATTGTAGGAGCATGCCCATCTTGCTTTGCTCTGTCTCGTTTTGACCTCTCCTTCTCTATCCCACCACTGTGTTGTCCTCTGAACTTTACCAGCATCCTACAGTACTCGTACATGTACGGTATCCCAAACCCAAGTGTCTCACCGCTATCATGCTTACCGGTGCTTGTTAATAATTATGGCACTCGAATAGCAGCAATTCAACGGGGAGATAGGAAATAGCACTCCGCCCTTTTCTTGAAAATCGCCAAGATCCGTCAGCCTTATTAGAATCAGAATCAGACCTTCCATATAGCCTTTCTTTCTAGTTATAATTCTTCTATCTACCTATATATGTGATCGGTGCTCGACAGAGCAGGTGAGAATTAAATTACAAAATACCGGTACCGGCATAAGCTACGGTACTTAGACCCATCCTCCCCCACCTCTTTTTTACTCCTCCTTTCACTTGATCACCCCTCCCTCCTCTCATGACAACTCCTCCCACCAGATCTCCCGATCTCCAAATCGGCGACGCACATGATGCGAGAAAGGCGAGAGAACCGCATAGGCCGCATAGTGCCAAAGTGAGTGAAAAGAAAAGAAGAAGGAAAAAAGAAAGAAGAGAAAAAAAGAAAGGAAAAAGGGAGAGGGAAAAAAGGGAAAGAAATTTGATCCCAAAACTTTATCATACCTGCAGCTGACAGCAGAAAAATAAGGTACCGTCTGCAGCTCGGGGATCTAAGGTTACAAGTACAAGTCCAGCACGATTGTACTAGTACTCGTACCGGTACTGTACCAACCGCGCATGCCGGTACAATACCGGTATTCTAACTATGATACCACCATCATCATCCTACCGTACTCTATAGTACACTCATACACCCTGCCGCTATCCCAGATCTCGATAATCCGCATACGGTACTCGAGTACCAAGCTGTCCCATATTATGAATCTCTTTGGGTCCCAAATTTCTCTGTGCCAGAACCTAACCTCTTGCCCAGGATCACCCGGTGTACTGGTATCGGACAGATTCTTAGGTCGCCCGAGATAGCGAGGCGCGACTGTGCATACCGGTGGTACCTTGCCAACCGCCAATCCTCCCGGCAGCACAATCCTGTCCTCGTGGGGTCCATTCCTAACAATCCCGGCTGCGTCAACTTACCGCATCGTACTGTACTCGAGACAGCACGACGCAGTAGAGTGCTCCCAGCAGAGAAAACTACTCGACTAGATCCTGTTCTGTAACACTTCCTTCATTCACAACAACCCCAGCCAGAAACTCCCCCCTCCCTCACTAGCTAACTACTATATCCTATCTTATCCAGCCAGAAAGGTGATAGGAATTGAGGGCGTGCCCCCACCGCCCCGAGCCAGGTGAGACTAAAAAAGTAACAAGGGAACAGCAGAAAAGAAAGCAAGCAAGAAGAGGTCATTCGCAAAATTCAGAACGTAAGTTCCGATGTGGGGGTTCGACACAAGTACGGTACAGTACAGAACTTATCATACGGTACTTGTAAATGGTCCAGCTTGTCAAAGAAGGTCCACCTGTTCCAAGAGTTAGACTACCGTATGTGTGTATGTTTATTTGCTACCCTTAGGAGGGTGAAGCGAAGACCTCCCGATGAAGTCGCGGCGGCGCCTTGCAACTTTGTGATGCGGCTATCGTCTGTGCACGGTAGGTTGGAATAGTTCTACTGTGCTCGAGTATTCGTACCGTGCTAGTACAGTACCTGATTCCCCAAAATGCTGGTACGGTGCCGAACCCGGGAGCTGAGGTTTTCCCCTCAGCCATGAGCATGAGAACAAAAAAGGCGGTTACATCCGCCGGACCCCGCCTGCTCACACTTCCGGGTTCCACTTGCCAGACCATGTCATGGCTTTGACCTTTCCATCTGTTCGTCATGGGCTCGAAAGAAAGGAAAGAAAAAGGGGAAATTTTGTTTTTTTCAGGAACGGATTTCCGAGGGCGGAAAAGGGAGCGGAAAAAGAAAGCAAGAAAGAAAGGGAAAAATCCCTGTGTAGATTGGATTGGCTGCCCTTGCTTAGATGTGTGCTGCAGGATGACATTTAGCAGCGGGATACCGTACCAGTACTGTGCTCGAGTACATTACTCGTACCGGTACGGTAGGAGAGAGAAGAGATGGATAATTAGCTATGGTATCATAGTAAACCTTTTAAACACCATGCTCTTGGCAAAAACATATTAGGTGGTCTCACGCCAACCGGTTTCACTCGGTTTCTTCGGTTTTGTGGTGTACTGGAAACGCTAAACTGAATGAAACTGTGGAAACTGGAAAACGAGAAAAAAGGCGGTTTGCAGGTTTTGTTTCAGTTCTTGGGTGAGTGTAGTGAAGAGACTAGTTGATAGCCCAGACAAATAGTGAGAAGTCTACCTTTGAAGGATTAGAATACTTGGCAATAATGATGATGGCTTTGAGTATTGTACATTGACAAAATTAACCGTGATTCAACTATCGGTAGCAATCCACACCTCTTCAACACCTCGCACTCTCAACAGTACCTAAAATAATTGCTCTAAGTCAACCAAGAAGAAACCATTCTGCTCAATTCTTTTTTTCAATAAACTATGCCTCCAATTCTTTGCAGTCATGCCAAAAAGCCTATTCCCTCCACATATCTCTCAGAGTTTCCCAGGGGGAGGATTCTCGGGTTACACGAGCCTCAGATGAGATATCAGCAAATTTCCCACTACCTTAATATCTCCTACACTACTGTCAGAGACACAAGTACAAAGCAAGATCAAGAGGGCAAGGAAACTAAGAGTAGAGGAAGATATCCTAAAACTACCAAGTCACAGGATAATGCTATGGTGGAGGAAGCTCTTAAAAATCACCATACTACCTATTCTGACATTGCTGAACAAGTTGCTCCCAATGTTTCTAGTAGGACAGTAAGGAGAAGACTTGAAAAAAAGCATCTTAGAAAGTAGATGGCACAAGAGAGAGTATATTTGGATGAGGATCTATCTTAAGAGAAGTTTGAATGGGCATTAGCTCACAGGCATTGGACAAAGAAGATGTGGAGAAGAAAGGCAATGTGGGGGGATGAGGTAGCTGTAGAAAGGGGAAGAGGAAAGATGTAACGATCCCTCCTTGGATAGTTAGTTCTTGGTGATTGGGAATGATACTTCTCCTCTTCTCTTGTTTTTTTCCTTAGTCCTACTATAGCACTAGGCCTCTGCCTATATAACCAATAGTACAAGACCACTATCTTCCACCAGGAATGCCTATTGTAAGCTTTCTCTAACTCTTCTTCATGAAGAGCTCTTCTTGGTGTAATGATAACTTTGCAATAAAGATAAAGATCGTAAAGGTGTTTTATATTTGTTAAAGTAATAAGTAGGAAAAGTACTTAGAATTCAATTTAATTTTATTTAAACTCGTACTGCCAATACTGGCATACGACGAGCCTCTGGGCCAGGCCCCCAGGTTGTCGCATCCCAGATACCACTAACTACAAACTAACTAAACCTCCAACACCATACCTCAAACATGGCCACACCATGCCCCAACACGAACACTAAATACAAAGCCATCAACAGTAAAGAAAAACCCTCCTCAGCCCAGCCTACCAGCCAGCCAAGTTACTCGTACAAAATACAAAAATTCCACTACCGCCACTTGAATTTGACCCTGTAAAAACCTCCTCCACAGTAGAAACCCACCCGAGTACTCCCACTCAATGATTCTGGGACACCCCGCTGACCGCCCCAGCATCCATCCCCATTCCCAAACAAAAGAAACACCCAACTCCCAAGTACGTAGACCTGAGGGAAAGCCGACTTACAGGGCAAAAGGCTCCCCAGCCGAGGGGGTATGAACCGTCGTAGAGAATCAGGGGGGCACCGCACTTGCAGCAGCCCAAAAACCTCGATGGAAGTAGCCAGAATGAGATAGTCCCTAAGCTGCTGGCACTTGACAGAACAAGCCCAGGTATTCAACTCTTCCTCTAACTCCTCAGCTTATTCTGCAGTCGGCAAACCCGCCGCGAACTCTGTAGTAGCCGGTTGGCAGTAGTGAACCGGTGAAGGCGATGACCCTTCCGAGTCAGGAACAAGTGGCACAAGTGAGCTCTGGTCTTGTTTGACCCGGCGCTTCTTGTTTTTCTTTCTCTTCTAACTCCCAAGTGCAGGTCTAGTAACAGGAGTGAACGGGCTACTCTCATCACCACCCACTGCTACAGGAGGGATACCACTAAAGGCATTACCTCGACCAGCCACAGGCTCAGCTCCAGAGGACTCAGGCACCTGCTCCCGTGAAGGGGGTGATACCACTGTGGCTGGTATTACTATACCAGGATCTATCCCACCCAAATCAGGAGCAAGCGCCTCAACTGGATCCAACGAATCAGGAACCAGTCCACCCACACCACTAACCATAACTAAAGCTGCAGGAGGGGCCGGGATAACCTGTGGCGCAATATTCCCCTGAGAGAGCTCCTCCGCTGGACCCTGAGAAGTCTCAGAGTCTAGCTCACCCTCTCCAACCAAGACCACTGTAGTAATCGAAGCGATTGAGGGGACAGGTGAAGAGGGGATAACCGTGGGAACTTCAGCCGCCAACATCGTGAGATAACCGCGACTAATAGTACATTCATTCTCGAGGGCAGCTGACAAGGCAGATATCTCTTTCTCAGCGCGATGAAATCGCTGAGAAAGGATGGAGATGTGATGCTAAAGGCGAGAGACTTTAGCCTTTAGGGCGAGGTTCTTCTCGATGGTACGAGACAGAACCACCGATGAAAGTAAAGCGGACGTGGCTGAGTGGGCGGAGGCTAGCTTAGCCATTGCAACCGTGAGGAGGCGACTATAGTGAACAACCGAAAGAGTAAGTAGAAGGAAGAAAAGACTTCTAGCAAATATAGGAGGAGGTATAATAATGAAGTCTCTGAAAGGTGTTCGAAGTTAAAGACTTGAAGCCTATCGTGAGATAGAAATCAAGGGCTCTGATTGGATCGACACTGAACCTTCACTACTGACACAGGGTGAAAGCAGGAGAAAAAGTACTTAGAACAAAGCGTGAAGAACCTATCCTCCTCGGCTGCATCGACCTCCTTATATAGTATTCTTTACGCCCATAGTCATGTGACCCAAAGTGGTTACATGTACAAAACCAAATGATAATAAACTAGTCATGTGACAAAAGTAGTCACATGCTCAAAACCCATGACCTCATAGCGAGGTCATGTGTAAACTCATAAACCAATCATAATATATTAAACAAGTCATATGACTCGACTGAGTTACATGCACGAAACCCATGACCTCATAAAGAGGTCATGTGTGAAACATAAATCATATGTGTAAGGCATACCTGCAAGGCACACTCGCAAGGCATACTCATCAGGTACACGTCCTATGACTCATATTTAAGCCATGTGCGAAAGTATCATAAATCCCACACATAACAAATCATCTGACTTGAATGAGTCATATATGTGAAACAATAACATACCTGTGACTCATAACTATGTGTCATGTAAAAAACCTTTCCTTACCAAGCCACATTCATGACAAAAGAGGAGAAAATAGATTTTCAGATTCCCATATGAGAAATAGAATAAGGATTGTATTTAACCTAAGGCTAGGAGAGGGAAGAGCGAGATTAATCAGATGATGACTGGTTGTTTTTATAGTCAAACTCATGGTCTGTTATTGCCTGTTTTTCCTGATCCTTTTTGTACTCAGGGTGGAGTTACTGGGAAGTCAATTATTGACGTTTATGATTTTTATGACTTTCTAGGAATATGGAAGAATATCAGAGAAAAAGCTGGAGAAGAAGTGGTATTTTTTATTATTGACAATGCTAAGACTCACTTGCCTTTCAGGAGATGGCTCAGAGGGTAGGAAATTACACTGATAGAAATTCCTGCCTATTCACCAGATTTCAATCCAATTGAAAATATTTGGTCTCTGGTGAAAGGTAAGCTTTGCAAGCACTACTCTGAGCTATATCTTATGAAGGGTGATATCAATGTTGTCAAGAAGGCAATAGTAGAGATTATCACTCATTGTTGGGAACTTTTTGACTTAAAGGTTTTTAATACTTTAGCTAGATCAATGGTGGATAGAATTGAGGCAATTATTAAGGCTGATGAATAGTATACCAAATATTACTTTCTACTATCTATTTATATCTTTTAATTTTTTTCTTGGTTTTCATGATAGTGGATTGGTGGGTAAGTATGGTTATCATTGCCGAAGATTTTCCTCTGTTGAATCGCAGTTTATTTAGTTCACGCACAATAAATTTGTGGGCAAGTGAAACTACAAGTGTGAAAACAACTGCAATTTGGAGTTAATCAGTTACAATGTCGACAGATCTATGGAGTGAAATAGTACAAACACTAATGGTTTTCAAAATACTGGATGGTTTGGACATAACAATTGTAACGATCCCTCTCTGTACATTAGTTCTTCAACAAGTAATTATCTTATCTCTCCAGTAGTTGATATCTTGATAGCTCCAAGATGGCTCGTCTTTGTTATCACTTTGGATAATGCTTATTGATATCTCTTTAATGTGGACTTCCTCACTAAAGATGGATCACGAGATTGTAACCTCACTGAGATAAATTCTTCTTCAAACAAATATAATAAACTCTCAATGTCTCAGCAATAGAGTCTGAAGAAACAAAGCAGTAAAAATTAATAAATATTATTATGCCACAGTGTTATTCAATTAAGTCCTGATCTCACGAGGTAGTTGATTGCCAGAGTAGATGCTAGGAATACCGGGATCTGATATCTAGGAATTGCCCTAAGTAGGGTAACCCCACCCAGAATTGGAATTCCTTGTCTCTAACACCCCACTTTGTCCCCCTAATAGGGCCCACATGTCATCATACATATCAGTCTCAGTTGCGTCCTGTGACTATAATGATATAGAATTGAAGGTATCGGAATAATACTATATACATTGCTGCTGTCTGTCTGACCAGATCCTGTTTGTGGGAATTATGAGGAGGGACCTTCGGCTAGGTCTGAGAAGTGGAACAGAGTAAATCCGTCAACTACTCATAGAGTTACTAGACTTCAAATATGTAACATCTTTGGTATGGGCCATAGGTAACAGGACGTTTTTGCATAAAGAGATAGTATCGAATGATAAAGGATCTTAATGAGAAACCAATACATTCGCATCTACTCTACA